AATCAGATGTCTTGATAAGTAGTAGGGTAAAAAAAAAGAAAACAAAAAGAGCAATATAGTATTTCCAACTTTTTTAGACAACGTTGATTTAGGCATTTGTAAATTGAGGATGGATTACTTAAAGTAAAATTTTGCCATTATATCTTAACCAAATAAAAGCATCAAAGAAACGATATTAAAAAATACATATAAATGTCCCCAAACACTCTTTTATTTCTTGGCTTGCAGCAAGAAATAGGCTACCGACAAGGGATCGCATGACGGCTTGTCTGTTGTGCGACGCGGATTCGGAAACCATAGACCATCTCTTTTTCACTTGTGATTACAGCAATGACATATGGCGTGGGTTGTTGCGATCCTCGACTCTACGATGTCCGACACTATACTCCCTTCATGACAATCTGGGTTGGGTTAGTTCTTGCTGCATCAACGTCTGCCTCAAGCTAATGGTGCATCTACTCCTACAAGCTGCAATCTATTTCATTTGGAGGGAAAGAAACTCCCGTCTGCACAATGATGAATCGCGGCCGGTGGGGCTCCTTGCGAAAGAGATCCTAAGCTCGACACGACGTAGACTTTCCAGCATCACCAAAGACCTTCGGTGAAGCCCACTTGTGACTCGATACTTACCATTTGGTTTCGTTATTTTGAATGACTGTAACTTCCATGTTTGTCTTCTGCCTGAGTTTCTGTAACTGCTTTTTCTGCCTGGTATGCCAAGGCTTCTTGTATGTAAACGAGGTTAATTTAATATATTTACGGTTAACAAAAAAAAAAACATATAACCATACTAAGGAAATTGATAAGGGATTCAGAACTAAGATGACGGCACTACGAGCAAAGGATCCGACACTCGCCTCAACTTCTCTATGGTTATGGTTTTCTAGACATTATAATCCCTACTATACTTAGTTGTTATTGGATCGTGGTTAAATGTCGTCTTACTTTTGTTTATATGTAATCTTTTCGGAATAAAGTATATAACAACACCCTTTAACAAAAAAATAATAATAATAATTCAGGGTTCAAATGTTGAATCCTTCAAATGTTATTGACCTTGCCCGTAAATAAAACAAAAACAAAAAATAAACTGAAAATCAACATGAAACTACTTGGAACATTTTTTAAGGAATAAAAATAATTTTTAATGTGTAAGGATATTACTAGGCAATAGAGGACGACTGGTTCATGGTGGTCACCGTCAATGGCGGCGAGTCAATGGTTTATAAAATGTCCGGTTTAGATGCTGTCATGATCGTTGATTGCGATAACCAGTTCTGTCATGCTCTCCAAAATTCTAATATTTTATTTTTATTTTTTCTCTTGAAACTGCTAATGATTTTCGGATTTTAAAGATTAGTTTTTAATTCCGCATTTTTTAAAATTAATGTATGGGTTTTGGATGAGAAGAAAATACTTTGATGAGAAATTTTAAAAGTTCTAAATTTGTTTAGAAAAAGAAAACAATAAATCTATTGATTTCAAGATTTTAATCTCTGGAACTTTCGTAGCCATTCATATTTCTTTTGTTTGACATCAATAAAAATAGATAAGTACGTGTAGAAAAATATAAATCTATATATATTTTTCATTTGAAAATTTATTATACAGATGATGAAAAACAATTGTTTTGGGAAAAATGTCATATTATTTTTTTCGCAATATTATTTAAATGATATAAAGTTGAATGATTTCAACCTGTCATCTATATTCTATCTTTGTCGATAATATTTATGCATATTTTTGTGAACGTACTATTATACCTATGGAATATAAATATCCAATAATTAGTTCCATAACTTTAGAGAAAAAAAAAATCAACTTACAAATATTGACAAAAAAAAAATATTGAATTTTTATTTTATCAAATAAATATTTCCACTATCCACAAAATAATTATTTTAAAACGTGAGAGGTGATAAAACATCATCATAGACTTAGTAGAAGCAGCCCAAGTTTCATGTTTCATATAATAATTATCATTGTTGAGCTCACAAAAACTTTGTAAAGGTCTTTTATACATGATTACAAGTATCCCACTTGTTTATACATTAATTATATATTTTATTTGATTGGCTGTTTTTGGTTCTTCCAAAAAAAAAAATTAGAAAAGACAAATACAGATTTATGCAAAGGTATTGACAAATTGAAGTTTTTGAAGGGCAAAAGGATCCGAATGTGAAAGGAATGGATGTCTCATTGAATTACATTAATAACTCCTACAAAAGAAAAAATCAATCAAATTCAATAAAATTATCGAATAGATAAAATTGAATATAAAATATCCAACATATCTAAAATGAATTTTATTTTAAAAAATAGGCTGAATATTATTTTTAGAGTTAGATGAATTGAATTGGAAATGAAGCTAAAAATAATTGAAAAGATGAACACAAATAAAAGTTACATTTAAAATGTTTTTTTATTTATTTATTGGGGAGAGTATCTAAATGATGAGAATTGAGTAATTTCAATTCGTCAACAAATTTCATTCTTTGTGAATAATTTTAATGCACATTTTTATGAATTTTTCTTTATCCCAATTTAATCTATGTAGCTAATAATTTGTTTACATATGGGTTCAAAAATGTTTTAGAAAAAAGAAAAATTAAAAAGTCTGATTTTTCATGTAATAGACACTAATCTGCATTGCTTTTAGAATAATATATTTCCACTATTCCACGAAATAATTATTTAGAAATGTTAGAGGCGATTAAACACCATCATAGACTTATTATAAGCAGCACCAATTACATGTTCCAAAAAAATAATTAGTAAAGTCATTGATTCATTTATGACCACCACCAATCTTTGAAATGGTCTTTTATAGTATATGATTGCAAGTGCCCCACTTGTTTATGCATCAATTATCTATTTGATCTTTGTTGTGGCTGCAGTTTTTCTTCCAAAAAAAAAAACAAAAAGAAAAAAGAAAAGAAAAGACAGCGCAAAAATGTTCATAAATTAAAATTTTTGAAGAATGTAAAGAATCGGAAAGTGAAAGAAATAGAATTTTCAGTGAAAGAAATAATAGAATTGAATATTTGTACGGATCGGATACGGATACGGATATCCAAAAAATACCGGATATCCGATCCGTGCCCACCCCTAATATTCATACATTGAAAATTCTATTTCTTTCACTTTTCGATTCTTTACATTCTTCAAAAATTTTAATTTATGAACATTTTTGCGCTGTCTTTTCTTTTCTTTTTTCTTTTTGTTTTTTTTTCGGAAGAAAAACTGCAGCCACAACAAAGATCAAATAGATAATTGATGCATAAACAAGTGGGGCACTTGCAATCATATACTATAAAAGACCATTTCAAAGATTGGTGGTGGTCATAAATGAATCAATGACTTTACTAATTATTTTTTTGGAACATGTAAAAATGTTCAATTATCATATACCGGATCAGACTTTTTTTGGAACAGATTAGTGTCTATTACATGAAAAATCAGACTTTTTAATTTTTCACTTATCATATACCGGATCGGATATCCGGTATTTTTTGGATATCCGTATCCGTATCCGATCCGTACAAATATTCAATTCTATTATTCGTATCCGATCCGTATATTTCGGATATTCGTAATTTCGGATATCCGTAAAAATCACGGATATTTGCGGATATCCGTATCCGATTTAAAATATAATAAAAATAAAAAATAAAATAAAATAACTCAAATACGAATAAAATATATAACACATCAAATACAAACAAAATTCAAAAATTAAAACTCATAATAAAACATAATTAATCAATTCAAATGCAAATAAAATAGATTACGTATTGCATATATTTCGTAAAACCTCTTTATATATATATATGTAGTCATATTGTATTGGTAATCAGATTTACCATACATTGTGTCTTACTTTTCATTTATGTTAATCTTCAATACTTCAACAAATAAATTGTCACAACTCAAAGAGCAAGACCAAAGAATACACAGTAGTAACCATGGAACTAGACCAAGAAAATTTTGGATCATTGAAATAAAAGAAGCAATCGCATAGATATGATTTTTCTATGGACGAATCAAGAGAGACGACATTTAGAGATCCCCTACATAGAGATAGATATGTATATGAACTAGAGCAAAACCAGAAAAATCTCTATGGAAGATAATATGTGCCAAAGAAGACCACAACACAAATAATCTCTAATCCTAATACAAAATCGACTCATCAGAGAATCAAAATAAAATAGGAAAGAGACTCTCCCAAAAGCAAGACGAAAAACAGTGAAAAAACATGATGAGGAATGACAACGAATGAGAGAGGAAGTGAGGAGGCGGAGATATTAGAGTTGTTGACAAAAAAAATGAGAGAAAAAACCCTAGTATAGTTTTTTTCTTTTTAAAACCCCATAAATATAAATTATTTACCAAATTATCCTATATTTTATAATATTACTAAAAAATATGGATCGGATCGGATAAATCGGATAATTCAATTTTGATATCCGTATCTGATCCGTATGCGACAAATAGTTTAAAATCAATATCCGTATCCGATCCGTAAACTTCGGATATCCGAATTTTTTGTTCGGATACGAATCGAATAACGGATCGGTTCGGTTTTTTCGGATATTATGCCTACCCCTAATGAATATCAAAACTATGTAAGTCACATCCTTGTTGAGTACATTAAACGTCAATAAAAAGTAAATAAAATAATTTCAATAAATAGTGGAAATATTCAACAAATCCGATTCAAAAATGCAATTAACGACGGGAAACAAATGAAAATAAAAATTTAATTAAAAAATAAATATTTTTTTTTATTTAAAACCAAATCCTAATTAAATCTATTTTCAAATAGAATGTGTTCAAAATTCTGATTTGTTGATATTATTCTGACGGATCTTGAACGGCGTACACGTCGGACAAGACCTAGACTCCACAAGAAACACGCTTCTACTTCATCTCCATTGTCTTCCCCCATAAATATATTCTTACAAGAACAATGATTTGAACGTTTCTTCGTTCAAGAATGTGAGAATGTCGTATGCAGCTAATGTCACTGTTACAAAAGAGTTGATTTTTCAATGTCGAAGACGACTTATATTGAAGCCATCGGAGCACATTCGATCAATTCCGCAGCTTTTAGCTCTTGTTTTCGCCTTCATCTCCTCTGAATCAGGAAACCCATCTCAGAACAATGGGTTTTCATGGGTTTTTCTTCTTCTTCTTCTTGATCGGAGCTTTTGCCGTTTTCCGTTCGGTTCAAGCCCAAGATCAAACAGGTTCTTGCATGTCTTCTTAGTTTCTGAAACAACATTTTCAATCTTCTGTTCTGTTTTCTTGATGTCCGATCTTGTAATGAACAGGATTCATCAGTTTGGATTGCGGGTTGGAGAAAAGTACAACGTACACAGAGAGAACGATCAATATAACGTACGAGTCAGATGCAAAATACATTGACAGTGGAGAAACCAACAAGATCAAAATTGATCAGACACAGTTTCAGCAGCAGACTTGGTCCCTAAGATACTTCCCGGACGGGCAGAGAAATTGTTACGGTTTCAACCTTACGAGGAACCGAAAATATCTGATAAGAGCTATGTTCTTGTATGGGAATTATGACGGTAGAAACGAGTTCCCGGAATTCGATCTCTACATTGGTCCTAACAAATGGACAACCATTGACATAAAAGGGGTATCTAATACTTCAATGGTTGAGCTTATTCATGTCCTTACAGCGGACCGTCTCCAAGTTTGCCTTGTCAAGACAGGAAAAACAACACCGTTTATCTCGTCTCTCGAGCTTCGACCTTTGAGAAACGACAGTTATGTCACTCAGAGTGGATCTTTGATGAGGGAATTCAGGGTCTACTTTGCCAACACTACAAGGTTCATCAGGTAAGAGAGAAGCATCCGTCTTTGTGATTTTAAGAAACTTACAATCCAAATCCTACCCGTTTGATCGAAAGAACTGGGTTCGAATCACATTTTCTTCGAATTTTTTCTTCGACGATCAGTAATGCGATCACAAGAATCAGACACTTCTCCACAATCCAAATGTTATTTTCAAGAATCTGATAGTATCATTTCTGTAAATTTTCTGTACACAAACCCCATTGATGCTTCTCCTATCCATAGAAACCAAATGGGTGTTTGAAAAGGACATAACTTTTCCAATGGTTATGTCTCTCCTAACAGGCACATCCATAAACAAAAAAGCATTCCCTTTTAGTTGCATCTATACATTAAATTTTGTATTTTCTTTTCGATTTGTAATCAACAGAAGGATCTATGCAGGTTTGAAGAAGATATCCATGACCGTTCTTGGATTCCGTACTTCCAAACGGACTGGTCACAGCTAAGCACAAATCAGGTTGTTAAGAATGGTAACTTCTACGAGCCTCCCGAGCTTGCCATGAGAACTGCCGCAGTGCCTGCAAATGCAAGTGTTCCGCTGAACATAGTGTGGAATCTTGACGATATATCTGCACAGTCGTATATATACATGCACTTTTCCGAGATCCAGAACCTGACGACGAATGATACGAGAGTGTTCAACATTACTTACAACAATGGCAGGACTTGGTTCACGAGATTCAGTCCTGAGAATTTACAAGTAACCACGATATACAATCCTGCAGCTGTGAGTTCTCCCGACGGGAAATTCAACTTTTCGTTCGTTATGACCGATAACTCCACTCTTCCTCCACTTATCAATGCCCTCGAGGTTTACACAGTCGTAGACTTCCCGCTATACGAGACAGACCAGGATGAAGGTATGTGTTCCTTGAGACTTTACTGTTTCGTCTTTAACTTATCTGATTTCTGACATAATTAAACTGTTTTTTTTCCGGCAGTTGATGCTATGATGAAGATCAAGGCCACATATGGATTGAGCTCTAAACTTAGCTGGCAAGGAGATCCGTGTTCTCCTCAAGATTATCGGTGGGAAGGTTTGAATTGCAGCTATCCGAACTCCGATGCACCAAGAGTTACATCTCTGTATGTTTTTTGATTTCATCTCAAGAATCTTGTTTCTTTGTTCTTCTGCAACTTCAGAATGAAGTTCTGATTGTTTTTCATTTGTTTACCACAACATTAGGAACCTGTCTGCAAGTGGGTTAACCGGTGTCATAACGCCTGACATATCCGAGCTTACGCTACTGACAGAGCTGTAAGAACCTAAACTCGCAACCGGAACTAAAGTTTGATTCTTTGATGCTCTTGAAACATAACTTTGCTTATTCTTTAATGGGCAGAGATCTATCGAACAACGATTTAACAGGAGTCATTCCAGCGTTTCTCGGTGATATGAAGTCGTTAAAACTCATGTAAGCTTCTGCACAAGATTTAGATTCTGCTATATTTTTATTGTTACGTCTTCTCTCTCGTTCCCGTTCTTCTTCTCCTTTTGTTGTTGGTGTGAAACGTTACGTTTTACGCTGCAGAAACTTGCGTGGAAACCGGAAGCTGAATCAATCGATTCCGGATTCTCTTCGCCAGAAGAGTGATTCTTTAACCTTGCTGTAAGATTATCAATCTTCTCCGAATCCTCTCCCAATTTTTTTAATTTCCATCATGAATTCGATGTCGTGTTCATACTAACAAGGCGTACAGAACGTTGTTTTGTTTCCTTTACGAAGTCGAATATCCAATATTTTTCTTGTTTTTCATGGCCACTTCTGTTAATTACAGTTTAGATGGATCTCCGGATAGAAAGAGTAGCAAAAACAATAACAGCGTGCCCGCCGTTGCTATAGCAGCACCGGTAGCTGGGGCTGCGGTTCTTATGGTCATCATGGCCGTCTTCCTCGTCATGAGAAGGAAAAAACGAAAAAGTGCAGGCAGTATGGTCTTGAATTCAATTGATATGAAATCAGCCCTTGAGTATCCTTTTCACGAATTCAATTGTTGTATATGTTTTGTACACAGCTCCCCAGCCCTCATCATTCGCAACTGAATCGGATACTGGAACGAAAAGGACATCGGATGCAATGATCATAACAAAGGAACGGAAATTCACCTACTCCGAGGTGCTGAAAATGACGAATAACTTCGAGAGGGTTCTCGGGAAAGGAGGCTTTGGAACGGTGTATCACGGGCACTTAGACGATAGTCAAGTGGCTGTGAAAATGCTGTCTCATTCCTCGGCTCAAGGGTACAAGCAGTTCAAGGCAGAGGTAAACACAATAAGCTAACACTACCCGATTTGCTCGTTAATCTTAGACTAATTGCTCGTTAATCTTTCGATGTTTTATCTTCTCCTCAGGTTGAACTTCTTTTAAGAGTTCACCACAGGAACTTAGTGAGCCTTGTGGGTTACTGTGATGACGGCGATAACTTGGCTCTGATCTATGAATATATGGCAAATGGAGATCTCAAAGAACATCTATCCGGTAACAATCTAATAGACATGTTGTTCGATCATGAACGAAAAGACAGCATTTCGGTTTCGGTTTCGTAAATTCTTGGTGGAAATTATACAGGGAAACGCAGAAGCGACGCTCTCACTTGGGCGACAAGAATGCGGATAGCAGTAGAAGCGGCACAAGGTGAAAATCTTTACGTTTCTTTCGTCGTATGGTTCACTACAACCTGGAAAGGGAGTTTGATGAAGCTAATGTTATATAGGATTGGAGTATCTGCATAATGGATGTAAGCCTCCAATGGTGCACAGAGACGTGAAAACGACAAACATTTTACTGAGCGAGCAATTCCAAGCGAAACTGGCGGATTTTGGGCTCTCGAGATCGTATCCCGTCGAGGGCGAATCACATATCTCTACAGTTGTTGCCGGGACACCCGGTTACCTTGACCCCGAGTGAGTAAAAAAACCGATTTTTCGAAATAAAACTCGTCATTTCACGTCGTGGTTATCTCTATATTCCCCATTCTCTTGCAGGTATTACCGAACGAACTGGTTAACCGAGAAGAGCGACGTTTACAGCTTTGGAGTTGCGTTGTTAGAGATAATCACGAACCAGCCAGTGATAGACAAAAACAGGGAAAAGCCTCACATCCCGGAGTGGGTTGGATTCATGCTTGTGAAAGGGGACATCAGAAATATCGTGGATCCGAAACTAAACGGGAACTACGACACGAACAGCGTGTGGAAGGCCGTGGAGCTCGCGTTGTCGTGCGTGAACCCTTCATCAAGCAGAAGACCGACCATGCCGCACGTGGTAATGGAACTGAACGAGTGTTTGGCCTTCGAGACGTCGAGGATGCAAGGCAGCCAAGAGATGTATTCGAGGGATTCTCTCGAACTCACTGCCGCTTCCATGTCGGAATTCGCTCCGGGGGCGAGGTGATGTGAAAGCCGCAACTTCTTAGTTTTCGATTTCGTCGATCACTGGGACATAACTTCATCCGTGGATGCTTTCTTTGCGTTTCTATGTCCTCATCAAATATGAAAGTGCGATGTTTTTCGTTTTCCGACATGATTGTTTCCAAAGAAGCAATGTATATGAAAGGCCAAACACTATGTTTTGTACATGAAGTTGTTGTTAGATTACGGAAAGACAAAACTATGTCCTTCGGTTGTGGTGGGTGTACAAAGAATGAATACTTTGCCTTTATTTATCATATAATTTGACCCGGTGATCGAATTATTGTAATCGATTTGACAAGGGTTGGAGTGTTCTTGTCCGATGGAGGAAGGATGGAATCTAAATATTGATTTCACATCTAAAAAATGTAATTGAGTCGGTAAATCTCTAGTTATAAAATAAATTTGAATGTATCATTGATCCCAATTGTGTATATTTTTATCTAAATTTGGGTATTTCTGAAAGAATTTAAGAGTATAACTTCAAAAAAACAAATTTGAAGAAGAGATGCTCAAGATTTCAAAGAAAATACTAGAAGAGAATTCTCCATGTCTCATTAACTTTCAACTTTCTGACAAAGGTATTACAAACCTTTTAACCAGATACGTGATCATTCAAAAAGGAAATTAAAACAACATTACAGGAAAATATAAAGCTATTTAAAGATAGAAAAGGAAAGACTAATATCTCTTGTGATGATGAGGAATATTGCAGATTCATGAGTTGATATTGATGCCTAAATCACTCCATGGACTATGCCACTCATCAATCAGTCCATAATCAGATTCGTGTGCGAATGTCACCATACGTGTCGACTCTTCACACTCCAAACTTGACCCGTTGTTAGCATTTGGTTCAACAATTTCAACTGGTGAAATGGGACGTAAAGCTTATGTTCCATTTCGAATTCGAACTTCAAGAACATATATTCCAAATCACCCAATTAACTCTTACCTTCGGGATTAATGTGGGTCTTGACACAGGATACCCGTGTGACACCCGAATCCCGTATCCCGTGAACATGATATGCCACATGGACAAAACCAATAAAACATAATAAAACCGAAAGTACGGGAAATTTAAAATCACTTATACATAACAATACGCAGCGGAATAAACACATCACACGTCTCTTGAAAACACATGTCCAAAACGTAATTAAACACAACCGTCTTCACATGGAACCTTGTTCCATAGTCCAAAACACACGAAAGAAACATAAAACATTCGTACATGATGTCACTTTCCCCCAAGTCGTCGCCGTCGCAAGTGCGCTACCCGTCCTCCTCGGGATCTGAAAAATTCAACAACAGAGGGCTAAGCATAATGCTTAGTGAATGGCTCGGATTGAGCCCGGAGAGCCCATTCTCATGGAGAACGGTGCCCACTAATCTATCAATACAAGAATTTCCTTATTTTATCCATTTAATATTTTCTCAATAATCATTTTTAATTCATTATCATTATTCCATGCATTTCTGATACCTGACAGTACTGACTCAAATCGTCAACCGGCACCATTAGATACCATTTCCTTTCGGTCTCATCTAGTACTGACTCAATTCGTCTACCGGTACTAGATTCCACCCTGCTTCTCTGTAATAATACGGACTCCACGTCGTCAACCGGTACTATTACAGAGACGACCACACAGATTCACCAGTACTGACTCCACGTCGTCAACCGATACTAGCTTCACTACACATTTCCATGACAGTACTGACTCCTCTTCGTCGACCGGCACCGTTATGGAAACGTCCACACAACGACACCAGTACTGACTCCACATCGTCAACCGGTACTAGTGTTACATTTCGGTAATAGTACTGACTCCAAATTCGTCAACCGGTACTACTACCGAAACCACCCCCACACCAGTGCTGACTCCGAGGTCGTCAACCGGCACTGGTTCCATATCCACACGTCCCCATACTAGTACTGACTCACGCCGTCAATCGGTACTAAGTACAGGATCCATTAATCATTCAATCATATGCATCATCATAACTATTTATCCGTTATTTCGATATCACTATTTCCGAGTACTTCTCTTAGATTTATCCTTCGTATTCATTTCTGTTTGCGGTTAAATTCCTTTCCTTTTATACACTTTTACCTTTTTCACGTTCGTTCGACATACTTGTTTTATCTTATTTCGTTTGATTACCATTTAACACCGTATTCAAGTTTAATCCATTTGAATCTATAATCGGGGTTGCAGCCAGCCATTTTGGGATTTTTCACTATTCATATAGCCTGGACCGTCCGTTCTACGAGGCCAGACCGGGCAGTCCAGCTCATTCGGACCATCCGTTCTACGTGATCCAGATCGAGCGGTCCTGCGCACTCGGATTGTCCGTTCTCTCTTATCGCTCAGACCGGGCAGTCTAGATCCTGCTGGAACGATCGTTCGAGTTCGTTTCTACATGTTCGTTCAGCCTTGCCCCAGACCGGACGGTCTACACCCGGAGACCGGACGGTCTGGAACCCAGGTCTTCGTCTTCCTCACGAGCTCAGTCCGATTTTTCGCCATTTTTGCCCAAATTTTGATCCGATTTCAGTTCCAATCGTTACCCACTCAATATTTAACATTCATAAGTGCTTAACTCTTGCAGAATCACTAGTCTACACCATAAATCATGAAAATAAAATCTCACAAACACAATCCAAACCACTCACCTCGGATTCCTTGTGAGATGTGTTTTTCTCCGAGCTCGTGCGAACTCTCTGGGTTGTTTCACGCCGTGAAACCTCCCAGTAACCTTCTACGCCCGCCCCTCTAGGATTCTCTGAGCTCGTTTTGTCTCAAATCTGCTTCTCTCGCCATCACTTTCTCTCTTTTTCGAATTTCAGATTTCTGAGCATAGATGACCGACTTGACCTGTTGGAGGGGTTAAAACAACGGATTTTCGTGAGGTTTCTGGCACTAGGACAGGTCAGGGGGTCCGTTCGTGTTGCGCACTAGATAGGAGTGGCGGCTGGTGATGCGTGGGGTCAGGATGTCACGCAATAATCGCGACCGAAAGGTGGAAGAAAGTCTGGAATTTCGGAAACTTTTTCCCCCAAACCCCAGACCGTCCGTTCTGGTGTTGGTCCATCCGTTCTGTTTTGCGGACGTGTAGACCGTCCGGTCTGCATTCTGGTCCGTCTGGTCTTGACCGATTTTTCGTCTTTTTCTCTATTTTTCGCTGGACCGGTCGGTCTACATCTAGACCGATCAGTTTAGGTCATTTTTTCTTTGTTTTCTCGACGTTTTCGACATTTTCTAACTCCACTTGTCCCTTGATTCGATGTTTATGCCAATTACCTTATATTTTGGACTTGTTTTACCCTATTTTATTCCCGAAATTAAATAATTTATTCGGGAATCGGGGCATTACAAATCCTCCCCCCTTAAAATGAATTCGTTCTCGAATTCTGAATTTGCATAATCCATTCGAAAACCTTCCTTAAATTCCATAACGATTCATTACAGTACAGTCTCGCTCGTCCGGACCTTTACATCACTTAAACAAACATATGGGGATAAGTACCATGCATCTTTGCCTCTGGCTCCTATGCCATGTCGGAAACCCCTTGACTTCTCCATACCACTTTGACAAGTGGTACCTCCTTGGTTCGCAGTTTCTTGACTTTCCGATCCACGATCTGTAGTGGCTCATCCCGAAAACGCGTAGCACTGGTGAACTCCAATTCCTGCGGTTGTATCACGTGGGAGGGATCTGCCACGTACTTCCGTAACATTGATACATGGAATACGTCGTGGACCGGTCGGTCTACCTTCACGATCACTGGACAAGGCCCGATGTACCTTGGCTTTAATTTCCCACCTTGTCTGAACCTCGTGTGTCCCCGCATTGCCTGCACTCGGAGAAAGGCCCGATCCCCTACTTCCAGAGTGAAGTCCCGTCTCCCCTGATCTGCGTAAGATTTCTGCCAGTCTTGCGCGGTCTTCAGGTTAGCACGGATCTTTCGCATCATCTCCGTCGTCTCTTCGACAATCTCAGGCCCGAAAACTCGGCGTTCCCCGATCTCGGTCCAGCATAGTGGTGTCTTGCACGACCTCCCATACAGTGCCTCATACGGCGATACCCCAATACTCGCGTGATGACTGTTGTTGTACGCGAACTCGCACAACGTCATACTGATCCCAAGGAACTCCCCACTCTAGCACACATGCTCGAAGCATGTCCTCCAAGGTCTGGATGGTTCGTTCCGATTGACCGTCTGTCTGAGGGTGATACGCTATGCTCATCTTCAACTTCGTACCCAACGCTCCCTGGATTGCCTTCCATAGACGGGATGTAAATCGAGCATCTCTATCGGATATAATTTCGCTCGGCACTCCGTTCAGTCTTACGATCTCATCGACGTATATTTGTGCCAATCGCTCGATCGGGTACTCCTGTCTGATAGGAATGAAGTGAACAGATTTTGTCAGTCGGTCCACAACTACCCAGATGACATTCTTCTTACTTGGAGTAAGCGGTAACCCAACCACAAAGTCCATCGCGATGGAATCCCATTTCCACTCTGGAATTTCCAAGGGTTGTAGTTTACCACCTGGCATCTGTCTTTCCGCTTTTACCTGTTGACAAGTAAGGCATCTCGCTACGAAGTTAGCTACATCCCTCTTGATACCCGGCCAAGTGTACCACCGTCGTAATCCTTGGTACATTTTGCTCGCCCCGGGATGTATAGCTAGTCTCGACTGATGTGCTTCTGATAATATCTCCCGTCTCAACTCTTGATCGTCCGACACACATAACCTATTACCTAGGTGCAATGCTCCTTTCTCATCGATACGATATCCCTTACGACTGTACTCCTCTATACCATCTATGTACCGAGCAAGCAAAGGATCGTTACACTGTCCAGCGGCCGCTCGTTCTGCAAAGGTCGGCGTCGACTCTCCCGGTGTCAAGGTCAAATGTCCCAGCATGGCTACCAATTCAGAAGCATCGATGCGGGACGACATCACAACACGGATGATAGCCAAAATCTTCTTTCGACTGAGGGCATCAGCTACCACGTTAGCCTTTCCCGGGTGATAAGCAATCTCCAAATCATAGTCGGCAATGAGTTCCAACCATCGCCGTTGCCTTAGGTTCAAATCTTTCTGAGAGATTACGTAAGTCAAACTCTTGTGGTCAGTATTAAGCTTAACATTTTCCCCGTACAGATAGGACCTCCAGATTTTCAAAGCATGCACTACTGCTACTAACTCCATGTCGTGGGTCGGGTAGTTTTCCTCATGCTTTTTCAATTGTCTTG